CACACACACACACACACACACACACACACACACACACACACACATACTCAGTCCAATGTGGTCCTAATTTTCATTAAGGATGCTTGTTGTTGGGGAGGCGTTTGAAACAGAAACCATGTCTAATCCAGTGATTTCATTAAACAGAACCCGTGGTTCCTGTCAGAACAGAACCTGTGGTTCCTCTCAGCTCCTCTCAGGTGGTCAGACACATTGGCAGCTCTGCAGGAGCCAGAGCGACGCTTCTTCCTCCCCACAGGAGGGCAACAGAGGCCTGTAAAAAACCAAAAACTGCACGCCTTTGACTTTTACAAGAAGAGTCTATTTAACCTCATTAACCACCGACCCATCGCTCAGGAGACACAGCTGAAGGAGACAGATCTGAAGGAGACACAGCTGAAGGAGACACAGCTGAAGGAGACAGAGCTGAAGGAGACACAGCTGAAGGAGATGGTTTTACCTACTGATGAGACATGAAGTAGGACCTTCTGTCCTTAAAACCCAGCAGCCTTCCACACACAAAACCAACCAGGAACAAGTTTCTATAGACATGTCTCATTGGACACATCTTATTGGACATGTCTCTGTGGACACATCTTATTGGACATGTCTCATTGGACACATCTTATTGGACATGTCTCTGTGGACACATCTTATTGGACATGTCTCTGTGGACACATCAATTTGACCAGTGTTGTATAAAGTACCTCAAAGTGATACTTGAGTAAAAGTACAAGTATCTTATCATAAAACCACTTTGGTAAAAGTAAAGTCTTCTCTAAGAATATTTCTTGCGTAAAAGTCTTAAAGTATCTGATGTATTTTGTACTTAAGCATCAAAAGTAAATTTCTGACACAAAATATACTTAAGTATTAAAAGTAAAAGTACTGAGTAAAAGTGAGCAATTAGATTTTCCAAAATGACATTTATTGGGAGCTGACTTCTCCAAAAACATTTTTTCTAACGGGGTGAAGCTGTGATGGACTGTGTACATGTACAATGTAATATTGTGTCAGAATGGTATATATTTATACTTCTCGTCCAACCCCAAATAAAATCACTCTATCCAGGATACACAATTTTTATGCATAGTATTTTTTAAAAATAATAACAACCTGGAATAAAATAGGAGTAACAACTTTCTACTTCTTACTTTTTTAAAAAATGTAAGTGGTAGAAAGTACATATAATTGTGTAAAAATGTAATGATTAAAGGTAATACATATGCTGGAAAAATAATTACTCAATACAAGTAAAGTACGTTTAACCAAAATTTTTACTTAAGTACAGTAACAAAGTATTTGTACTTAGTTACTTTACAACTCTGGATTTGAGCACACCTCATGGAACACATCTTTTTGGACACATCTTATTAAACTTAAAATTTAAGAAAAGCTGTTTTTTAAATTTATTCAAATAGTTTTAAATTTCTGAGGAGCTCAAATTTGACCAAAATGTGAGTCAAAACCTGCAAACGCTGAATGTTTTGGGTCAACAATTCATCTGTTCCTCATCTTTGTACTTTCACGAACAACAAAGGTTTTATAAATTTAAGGTCCTAAAAGTACTGTATGAGGAAAATCCTGTTTACAGATCTGACCATCAGCAGGCAGAAAGCTGAAGAACCCAAAACTTCAATTGGGAGATTTTTTGTTTTAGTTCATGTTATGTCCAAACATCCCTTTTAACAAATGAAATATCTCAAATTAAAAGCAGGAAATGAATCTGCTTGATGAGAAATTTCTTTTTGTATTTCTGGTTTTAGGAAAAATAGCACAAATCAATTAAATTCAGGTTTTTACAGAATTTCTTTACTTATTTGCCAAATGATGATTATTTCCCAAACTACAATAAAATTTACAATATGCAATTTAAACTTTTCTTTTTGTTTCTTCTGTGTATTCTGTGTAAAGTTCTGCTGAGATGTTCATTTTACTCTCATGAACTGTATTTAAACAATCATAAAATAAATAATTTTTTTCTACAATAAGTGCTTTTATGTTCTGCTCTCTGTCCTCCTTTCAAGTTTCACCCCGATGCTTCATCAGACATCAACTATCAGGGTTTGATGTTTTTATTTGCAAACTTTTGTGGAAGTTCTTCTTAAATTAAGCAAAAGAAATGATAAAAAAACCAACTTATATGTGCTGCAGGGTAAAAAACTGTGTTTCAGTGTCTTAAACTTGAGCTGTTTTCAGTTCAAATATTTGTTTTTTCAGGATGTGACGTTAAATCGAGTATATTTGTAATAGAATTAACCGAGCGGTTTGTTGCTTTTTCATCATGAACGTTTAGAGAAACAGAAACTTTAGGCTGATTAAATTTTGAGCGCAAAGCGTGGAGATGTTTCATGTTTTGTTCAGTCTGTTCTGTTTAATCTGGGACAGAAATCTTTATCTCTAACAGTAGAAAAAGCATCGCTCTGTGGGAAGAAAACCTCATGTTGTTCTCTTGTGGCTGCAGGATGACATGTTCCTGTCAGTAACTCACTGCAGAAGCAGCACTCGAGACGAGACTCAGCTGCCGGGTTATGGGTAGGGACAGATAAGTCTCCACAGAGCCGAGGGGTTAGAAACACAAACCAGTCAGTATTAGTTCAGATCTCTCTGGAAAAATAAATTTCCCCTGAGCGACGGTATCTATGATTAGATAAGGATGAAATCAGATGTGGCAAATCCTGGGAGCCCTGAGGTTGATTTTTTGGAGAGTAGACGGGGTTGGGGGGGGTGGATGGCACGCTGGCAGGAAAGACAACGTCTGCATGAGATGAGCTCCTTCACAGAATTGAAAGAAGATGTGGGGAGAATGGAGTCCAGGTCCAACCTGGCCTGAGTTATTCTTCCTCGATTGGTATTTGAACCTTCGGGGCTCGGAGCGATTATCTGCTCGCTGTGTTCTCCGCATGCCGCTGCTCTGAAGTTCAGCGGGCAGAACGTGGCACCGGCCCCACTCTGGTTTAGAGGGGAGGTTAGACTACCACTGTGGCTCCTCAAATTAGAACTACATGTTCATGTAGTACTCAAAGACCAGTAATAAAAACTATCCCCCCATAAATTGCTTATGACGCGTTTGCACCCTTTGAGGCATGCAGGTGCTTAAAAGTAATTAGGACATTCATTTTTATTTTCTCATTTTTCCCACGGGGACTCCTACTGTTGTAAAACAGCAGCCACCACTGAGGTTGATGTAAAAAATCAAAGAGAGCTCCGTTAGGCCCTTAGGCCGATCCGACGTCTCCCCTCTGGCTTGAATTATGACTTAAAGCTTCTCATGCCAGACAACGAAAGAAAGAATGAAAGAAAACCATGAGTGTGCATTAAAAACTAACCAACCAACCAGCGCAGCACAAGCATATTTGCATAAATATGAGATAATTGCACGACAGTGCTGCACCACCGCCGGCGACAGCGCATGATGGATGATCCAGGGGAGGAAGAAAACACGAAAGAAAGACGACAGAGTGTAACACAAACTCTGGACGGAGGCGAAAGACAAAAACTAAAAGACGGATCTGAAGGACACGCAGGTGGAGGTCCTCTTGTGTCTCAGGCCTCCTCGGCTCATGCCCGTCTTCTGTTTCTCCCTTTTAAGGAGCTCCAGGACTTTCAAGTAGATAATGAGCGCCTCCGAGCAGACGGAGACGAAGGTGGTTCTGTGGGGTCGGCGAGTCGGTGAACGTGGGGAGATTAGTGTTGATAACAAATGAAGTGAGAGGGGGTCGAGCTGGACGGCGAAGCGTGATAACATCATGCTTCGACTTAAAAGCATACTTTAATGAAGGTCTGCTCAGGGCTTAAGAAGGTAGGTGCAGGGATTCACTGTAGTATGGATGATTCTGCTGATGCTCTGGTGCTTCTGAGTTCCCGTTTAACCCTAAAACTTCTTCATGTTGTCTTTTACATTTAAACTTCAATATAAGGATGGTACATCATCAGCAGACACGAGTCCTTATTGGATAAAGATTATTAAAATACACGCTTGGATCTCAAGGCTCAGTCACAGAAAAGAGGGTGTCTAGTTTGGGAACCTGAGGTTCTCATCGATGCTTTATGTGGATCATGTATTTCTGTTGGCATCTTTCTTTCAGCATTCACTATAGCGATTCGTAATGAGAACGAGAGTCAGCTTTTTTTAAGTTTGAGGCCACGGTTCTCAAGTTGAATGCCCCCTCTGGATCAGGGAGTCTTTTTCTTTGGTAGATGAAGATGATTTGGGTGTTGTGATCATGAGTGAAATAGAGTCTGGTCTGGTCTGATCCATGTTCCAATTCCACTTGCAAACAAGATCCTAGATGCTTCCTTTGTATGGGTGTCTGGGCTCAGCCTTAGAGACGGGGTGAGGAGCTCCATCACTCAGGGAGAGCTCCTCTATATTGAAAGAAGTCAGCTGAGGTTGTTTTGGACATCTGATTAGGATAACCTTTTTTTGAAAATTTCCAGGTATGTTCCACTGGAAAAAGGCCCCTGAATATGCCAAGAAC